GATAAACATGCACCATTGACCGCTGCTTATCAAGGGGTCTCAAACCTCGGATAACACGATAACACGAATATATAACACGAATCTTGACTTCTATTAAAATGCGAAATAAAATATTTAACAAATTTCTTAAAGCAAAAAATCTTAATAACAAACTCAATCTAGAAAAATCTTATATAGAAACATACTTGTTACTCTCACCCGTCGTAGTAAAAAGAACCATTACTCTAAGTTCTTCTCTGACAATGCCAAAAATTTGAAATCTACACGGAATGGTCTTAAGAACCTTTTAAACATTAGTTCAAGAGTTAACTCATCTCCTTCATGCTTATCTTCTACCAACTTCATGATATACGACCCCATTAAAAATTTCGAAATCTTTTAATTCATTTATTGTTCCAGTTCCGGAAGATTCACAGAATAAAATTCACTTATCAAATACTGACTTTAATAAATATCTTAAAAATCCTAATCTTAATTCAATGTTTATAAAACCTACAGACAAAAACGAAGTATTATCGATTATTCATTATTTTAATGACAGCAAGGCTTTGGGACCTAACAGCATTCCAATACCTATTTTTAAAGTTCTTGCAAATGATATCTCTCCTGTACTTTCTAAACTATTTAATCTGTCATTCACAACCGGTGTATTCCCTGATATTTTAAAAAATGCTTCTGTTATCCCAATTCATAAAAAAGACTCAAAACTTGAATGTAATAACTACAGACCAATTTCATCATTATCAAATGTCAGCAAACTATTAGAAAAACTTATGTATTCTCGTATTTACAACTTTTTAAATACTTTTGCTTGTTTTCATATTCGACAATTTGGGCTTCGCTCAAATCACTCCACTTCTCACGCTATTATTAGCATTATTGAAATGACTCGTGGTGCAATTGACAGTGGTTCTTTTGCTTGTGGTGTGTTCATAGATCTTCAAAAAGCTTTTGATACGGTTGATCACAACATTCTAATAAAAAAGTTAAACTACTACGGAATACGTGGTATTGCTAATAATTGGTTTTCTTCAAATATTAGGGATCGCACTCAGTTTGTTTCAAATAATGGATTTGAATCCACACATAAAGTTATTAAATATGGCGTTCCACAAGGTTCCGTTCTTGGACCATTGTCGTTCTTATTATATATAAATGATTTATCTTGTTCGTTAAAAAATTCTATGATACATCATTATGCTGACAATACCAATCTTTTACATATCAGCAAATCCCTCACGACTCTTTGTAAAAACGTTAATCAAGATCTTCATCGCTTATGTAACTGGTTAAATAGTAACCGTATTTCCTTGAATTTCAATAAAACTGAATACATTATTTTTCATTCCCCTCAAAAAACTATTGATCATATTAAAATTAAAATTAATGGTAAAAAACTTTTTCCATCAAAATATATAAAGTATCTTTGAATATATCTTGATGAAAACCTATCTTGGTATAATCAACTGTACCATCTAAAAAAAACACACACGAGCTAACAGTATGCTTTTAATAAAACAAATTTTTATATTGAAAAAAAGTTGAAGCAGTGGCCAGAAAAATATCATAAATATCGAACATATTTATCTGAAGTTCAAAAAAAAAATTATTGAAATCCTACAGTCAGATTTTAAGAAAATTGGTTTCAAATAAATAAACAAATCTATGAGTTACACTAAAAAGTTGTTAAAGTTTAAGTACTCTAAAATATTTTATATCCTTTTTTTATTTATATTTTTGTGAAATTTTTGTAATAATATACTAATCTACATAAAAATAAGGCTACAATATTTAGTTTTCAGAGATCAAATAACAAATAACACCGTTGCCATATAAAATATACCGTTAACCGGGGTAACTCCGGACGATTTTAGATATAAAATGTTTGACTGTTTCTTTGAAAGCAATTCAAAATGCTTCATTTTGTGTTAATCGAACACTCTAATAATGAAGAACATAAATACATACTGGTTTTAAGCTCTTCTATAGATTATTACCTTTAATAAACGGTTTGAAAATCAAAAAATCAAATTCGGAAAACGGGGTAACTCCAGACGCCTAATAATAGGATTTTAAAAGTTGAATTTCTAACTTTAATAAGTTCAGCATTATCTTAATAACATTTAGCTTAGTAGCATGTATCATAATATGGCAAAAAGCTGTTTCATTTAAAGAGAACAGTCCTATTTTATATAACAGAACAAAAACAAAACTATTAATAAACGAACTATTTCAAATATACTTATATATAACAAATAATAATTAAGAATCAATATTTTTTTATTAGGATTATACATTTAAATTACTCATTACTGTAAAGTGAATAATACAGAAGTCATTTTGCCCTTAAAAAAATACAAGGCAAATTATTGTTTTTGGCATACAATGCACTCAATCGATATAGCATCTTCCAAACACTTTGAATGATACCAACGACCGCAACGTTCACAGCCAGTCCAATCAACTAAAACTTCCTCTTCTTCTTCAAGGATTTCACCGGTTTCTTCGTCGTCTTCTTTTCTACAGATGAAACAAATATCAGTGTTATTATCTGCAACAACATTTAAAACTGCACCTGATGCAATGTTTAACTTAATACCCCTGAGTTTTTTTGTTTCATATGCGCCACGATTAGACATTAACAAAGTTTTTATTGAAAATTATTACGTTTAAAATAGTTTTTATCGATGCTCCTGGTGTCTGGAACTCTGGCATCTTTTTTAAAATGATCATACGATTTATGGGATATATCCCACATGTATGAAATCCAGAAAATAAATTTTGACATATAGTGTCTTGCAACTTAAAAGATTAACTTTTCAATAGACCTGGAAAATGTTGTTTAGGAAAACATCCAGATTTACTGCTTTGTTTCTTCCATTCAATTAATACTTGCCTCCTACAACGCTTCATAGGACCATAGACAGATACATCTAATGGCTGCATTATATGTGTGGCATTTGGTGGCAACATAACAAAGTAAACATTATGCTCCTTGGCTAGTTTTATAACGTCTGCATTAAAATGAGAGACCAAACTATCTCCTAAAAGTAGTTTGGGCCCATTTAAATTCTAAACGTTTGTCAAGAAGCATGCTTTAAACAATTTCTCGAAGGTTTTCATATCAAACCAACCTGTTTTTGTACAACTGTAGGCTGTTCCCTGTGGCCCTTCTGTCACCCAACCTTGATATACATTCAATGCTTCGTAAACTACCATAGGTGGTTGCATTACTCGAGAAGCAGAGCCACACCACATAATAGATATCGAAGTTTTACTATGTTCTTGGATATTTTCAACACGTCGTCTTTCTCTTCGAACTAAAACAACTTTTTTTCCAGGATCATCTGAAAGATTTGTCTCGTCGAAATTAAATATATTTGAAGTTTTTTCAAAGAAATCTGTTATAACTTCAACTCCTACTTTGATCTTGAACGTTTAATATTAGAAGCATTTCTGCCAGTAATTTTATTTCGTTTCATAAAAGAATTTAACTAGTCATCTCCAGGCAACTTTAACTTGGAATTGTTTAATCCATTCCGATTTTTGAGAAAATCGAAAACCATCATTCTAACTTCTAATCTTCCAATTGGAAAGCCCCAATCAGCAACTGCTTCTATCATTTGAGCAATGAGTACTTCATCTGCAATGCTTAGAATTGTAGGCTTTCCAACCTTCTTTAATTTAGTGTTTCTAATGTGATCATATAATGTGGATTTTTTAACATTATGCTTATTTGCAGCCTTCCGAATGCTCATGCCTTTACCATAATCTTTTAATGCTTTTTGAAGATTTTCTTTGCAGCTTGTTTCATACAACAATGTTAAGTTTTGCTTACGTTTGTAGGTTCGCGGCATTACTACAAGATACAGAAAAGAAAAAAGAAATGCTCTGTCCAGAGTTACACTGCAGTCCGGAGTTACCCCGGTTGACGGTATTCTGTAGTTAAGAACCGTAGGCATTTTAAAAATTTTTTGCATTTTCTTACGCATGCGTACCTAAACATAGCGCTTGTAAACGACCGTGTACCAGCTAACTAGAGTTTATTATTATTACTAAAATAAATATAAAATATTACTTCCAACTATTACATATTTTAATCTTTCTTTTATAAACAGTTGTGTTGTTTGGAGTAGCTTTTCATCTGTTAAATCTGTTATAGACTTCTGAAAAATTTACCAGACTTACTTGTTTTTTGTATGACTAACTTGAGTTGATCTGTTTATCTTTGGATCACAGTATTATTGGCTATTTTCCTTTAAATCACAAAGATTGTAATAATTTCATGCTTAAACATAGTTTAATTTTATACTTATGTATCAGTAGTAGGGAATTGCCGGATCTGGCTCATTTTCAACCATATTTTCAACCATATATTTAATTAAATATATGGTTCATTTTAATCCATAGCGTGTATAAATTGTATAATTAGGAAATCAATTTTTAAAATTTAAAAATCAGTTTTCAAATTAGTGTCAATTTTGTTTCTTGTTGTCGCGGAATTTTCTTGTGTGACGTCTTCGGTCACGTGACTTGAAAGTGCGCATGCGTTAGATTTTTTTATTGTATATTTTTACTATATTAAATCTTGATATATTCTAGATCTAACAAAGTCTGGATCACTTTGTGATATAATATATATATTGAAACTTGCTTCCGTCAGATATAAGTTGCTCTAATCGATCAGAAATTATAATTGCATATGCCATAGTATTTGCTGGAACAGCTGTATTAAATGTTGCTTTAACTTGAACATCTACTATTGATGGCTTTATTATTGCTGATTGTTTACTTACATCAAAAACAAAAAGTGGATATAAATTTTTATAGTCTTGAGGATTTATGCTGCATTGTGTTATTGGTTCATTCATTCCATAAAACTTTTCAGTAGATAAAGATGCATCTCTATAAGCTCTTGAAAGTTGTTGATCTGGGAATGATAGATTATAAATAACAATTTCCGAATAACTTTGTGACTTAGGCGTTACGTACATATTTTTCTAGTCACAATGATCAAATATTGCAGGATTTTGTTCTTGACTGTTATTTTTATTTGTTTGGAATCCAACAATAATAAATCTAGGTCTTGTACTAGATGATGTTATATTCACTGTCCAAGTAAAATCAGTAGTTTGTGGAACAACTATACTCTCACTTCGCCTTTCAATATAAGATACTGGAAGTGGTATTTTCAATTCAATTTCTTTATTAAGCTTAAGTTCATATTCAAGAGATGGTTTAACATGTGGTATAAAAAGTGATACTTTAGTAAGATTGACTTGTCCAGCAGCTGTACCTGTGGCTCTAAAAATTGCATTATTATTATCATCTCTAATTAGAGTAAGTTTATGTGTTAACCCATAAACAACTTTATTATAAGTATCACAAAATCCGAAAATATGTTTTAGAGGAACAGAAAAGGAAAATTTTCTTTTTGTATTTGGCTCTTGAATTAAATAAGATTGTCTTGGTGCAAATCCTAAATTTGTAGCAATTGCTGCAGTTGTTGATGAATCTTTATACCATAATTGGTTTATACCTTGAACATTTTGAAAGTAATGAGGATATTTGAGCAATCCTATCATTGTAGTTGTTCTACCTAAAATAATAATATTTTCTACATATTGACCTGATAATTGATACTCTGCTCTACCGAATAAATACGTAAGACCATTGTTTACAAGTGTTACAGCATCTGCATTAACATAAGATGTTCCATCTGCTTTTACAAGTCTTCCTTCAATCAAAATAAAAGCTTCAGATGGAAGTGTAAACAAGCCTTCTTGATTAATAGTTATACTTATTTCAGTACCAGGATTATCAAAATTTGTAATTTTACTTTGATATTGTATACATGATACATGGTATTCAAATTTTTCAATACTCTCATAAATCATTGGTTTTTCTGTAAAATTTAATGCGTCAGAAGTTGGCATTTTATTTTTTTACATACAAGATAATTTTTTTTAAACATTTTGAAGAGTCCTAATATTTTAAATTTTATTTTAATTAGCGAAGTTAATCTGATAATCTACACTGTTCTAAGACCTAGACCTTCTTTAACTCTACTTTCTTTAGCTAAATCTTGTATTCTTATTGCATTTGAAATTTTCTTTTTTGATTTATTGTGACTAGATTTAATTGCTGATCCATACATAATTCTACTTAAATCTGTTTTTACTTCACTAGATGGATTATTAGCTGCAGATTCAATCAAATCTGAAAGAATTTGTTTACTTTCAGGTGAGAGCTCTTTAGTTGCTTTATTTGATGCTTTTGTATTATTTGTTTTCCTTTATTTACTACGACGTCTTTAGCAGTAGATATTGCAGAAGTAGCAAGTTCTTTCCTGCAGACTTTGCAGCATCTATTGAAGTTTTTCCTAAATCACGAGCAGCTGCTTTACTAGCTAAAGCTCTAGATGCTTTTAATGCATTCCTTAATGCTTGTTTCTGAAACATATTTCTTATAGAACTAAATAGTCCACTTCCACCAATAACATGTATATCTCTTTTTAGGATTTTTATTGAGGATTTTTATTTAGTAACTATTTTTATTTAATTTATTTTAATTAGCTTCGCTAATCTGAATAATCTTTATAGCAGATAACGTTCTAACTAAATCTGATGATTTTGCTCGATTATATACATTACTAATACCATCAAATATTCCACTTCCATTAACATTAATCATTTTTTGAACCTCTTTTTAATTTTCAGAATTAGTTATGCCTTGACATAACAACTCATCACAAATTGCAACAGCTTTATTTCTAGCTCCAGTATTACCTGCTTTTAACGCAGCTATGCGCAATTGAAGCATTTTAACTAGTTCATCTAGATCACTAGGAAGAATTATTACTCGTTTTCCAGATTTTCCAGTTATTTCTTCCAAAGTTGGTTTTATTACTTCTTTGTATTTATAACTTCTAGAAGATATTGGCTTAACAGGATTTAGATTAGTACGAATTGCATTTATTTGATCTAGAATTTCTTTATACTTATTACGATCATCATTAGTAAATTTAACAGGTTGAGATTTAATTATTATCTCCCAGAGATCAGGTATTCCAATGTATTTTTTACCTTCAATAGTTATATCATTACCTTCAATAGTTATCGGCTTCTTACCAATGTAAAATTTTTCATCATTGTAATGTATGCCGAATGTGAAATCCGATACCTTTTTACTATTATTAGCAGTGTATATCTTTAGATAGCTTGATGCAATAGCTCCTAATGTTATGTTATTTTTTTCCTTGATTCTATTACTTCTTTAATCATTTGATCTCTTTTATCAGGATCTGTAGTTTTAAAAAATGGCGTTTTATATATACAATAATTTTTTTTAATCTCTTTCAGAGATACATAAGTAGTAAATTATTTACATCCAGAATAGCTAAATCTTTTTGATATCTATAATGTTTTAAATGAACATAATATATGTTTTAAATGAACATATATTATGGTTTAATTAATATTTATTTTGCTAATATTTTGATTTTTGCCGAACCTGTTCTTTAACAATTCCATAGCTTCTTTCATAGCTTTATCTCTACCTATAATTATAAGTGATTCTTTAGTTTGTTTATCAATATCGCTTTTAGATTTTGTTCTAATTTGTTCAGGCATGTCTTTAAACTTTTGAAGTTCTCCAAGTATTATTGTAAATTTTACATCATCGATATTATCATCAATTAAAGCTTTAGAAATCTTTTCACTTATTGAATTAAGTTTTGTATCAGCCATCACTTTAATACTTATATGCTTTTCTGCTTTTATGTTTAATTTTTTAATAATTTGTGATCCTATTAATGATAACACACCTACACCTAAAGCAGCTCCTTCCAGTGGAATAGCAACTGGTGCTGCTACTATAGTAGATAAAAGACCTATACCAACAGCTCCAATTGTCAAAGTAGTAGCTAGTAATGAATTATCAATTGCTGAAATGATTCTTGACGCTCTGTGATATTTTTTACTTAACATAGCTCTTCTACTTCTTTCGCATCTCTTTTTGAATATATCACTTTTCTTATCTAATCAATATTTCTGATCTATAGATAGTGGTGGAGCAGTTGGATCAACTCCAAACTGCCTAAGATCCTAAGATCTAATAAATAGTTTTATATTCTTTACTTTTGCTTTCTTAATTTTTATATTCCATTCTTTTTATAAAGAAGCATTTCTTTAAATTATTTTAGTAAATCATGTTTATGAGTATTAGATTAAGTATCATCTTGATTACATAAATTATTTATAATTAAATCTCCTATACCTGATAATATAGATTTAACAGAGTTTTTATCTTCTTTCGATTCTTCTTTCGATGCTGAAGGTATTAAAGCTTCGCTAGATTTTATTTGTTTAACATTTTTATTAGATATATAATTAATTCTATTTACAATTCCGTTAAAAGACAGGATATAGAATAGACAATTTCCTTTTTCAATTTTTTTATCTTTATCATTATTATATAGAGTTACATTAATATCATCAGTAGACTCTGCTATTACAGAATTAAACAAGTTTAAATGTGGCTTATATTTTTCCGTTAGTGCAACTAATGCATACCCTTCATTTTTTTTAACTCAACACTTTAAAGAAATGCACTTGTATGAACTTGATTTTATTACAAAATCTTGTTGAGTAAATACTTTACATCTTCCATTATTAACTACTGCATGATGTTCTGAATCTATATTAATCGTTAATAAAATACTTATCTTTTGTTCTATGTAATTTTGAGTATATCCCATTTTGTTTATCGGCATTTTTATAAAGAAAACATTTTGGCTTAAATTTAAAAAATGATATAAATAATTTTCTTGTATAAACAAAAATGGATATCATAGATTTATCATGGAATGTAATTAAAAGTAATTTTTATAATTATAAGTTATTACCTAAAAGTATAAGAGAAATTATTGTAGGAAAGTCAGGTTATGGAAAAACAACTTTATTATTAAACTTACAATTAAGGCCTGGTTAGGTAGACTATAATAATTCACAAGTTTACGGAAAATCTCTTTTTCAATTAGAATACAAAATATTAAAAAATTCTTTTGAAAAAAAAGTACCAAAAGAAGTTACTCTTGAACTTTTTAAGTTATAACATAAAATAGAAAAAATGAATGCTAGCCCTGAACTTATTATTGAAGACATTTCGAAATATTTAAAAGAGAAAACAGATATTGAATGCGAGTTTTTTGAAACAGTAGATGATGTCCCAGAATCAGAAGATCTTGATTATAATAAAAATAATTTAATGATATTTGATGATTTGCAATTAACAAAACAAAACAACCGTGAAAAGTACTATATAATAGGAAGACATAGTATTGTAGATTTTTTCTATCTTGCACAAAATTATTTTAGTTACCTAGGAGAACTATAAAAGAAAATGCAAATTCTATATGCTTATTTCCTCAAGATGCAAAGAATTTAAATCACATTAATAATGATCATGTTTCGAGTGATATGCCTAATAAAGCTGAGTTTAAAAAATTTTGTAATGAAGCTTGGACTGAACCACATGGATTTGCTGTTATAGATTTATCTTCCAAAAGAGATTATGAAAAATATAGAAGTGGATTAGATATTATTTATATACCAGATTGTGCATTTTCATAAAATATATATTTTTTATTAAATATATATTTATATCTAGAAAATTAAGATCTACTAATTTATTAAAGAATCAAATTTAATAATGGTATATTCTTAAATGGAGAATTTTCACCTAATAATAAACCTCTACCTACTGGTGTATATATTTTTGCACTTTTAACATACAATCCATAACCTGAATAACTATCACTATTAACCTACGGATCTATAAATAAACAGTTTCCTGCAGCTCTAACTTTAATTCCTTGTCCATTCTTTTTCATGTGGACAATACCATTTCCAGCAATTTTATTAACTACAGCATTTCCAGCAGCTGCAGCTGTTCCAGTCAATAATCCTGTTGCCATAGCTGGAACAACTTTTGAAGCTAAAAAACTTCCAACTAATCCTAGCAAAGGTAAAAATACTCCATTTACTTAGCGTTATGCTTAAGTTGTGTTCTACTAATTGTAAGTGTTATACCACTACCTTTTAGAAATGATAATTTCATTCTATTTCTTTGTGAATCTATTAAAGCTATTTTATGTTCACCATTTAGATGTTGATATGTTAGTTTTATAACAGCGTTAGTCTCAGATTCAATTGCTTTTTTAATTTTTTCTTTCTGCCTTTTTGAAAGATTTATATATGTATCATAATATATTGTCATTTTTGTATATATGCAATAATTTTTTTAAATTATTTACATAGATTCATAAGAAATAATACCATTCTATTTAATATAATTTTTTTAAGAATTAGGTTGTATTTCATTTAATATATATTCACATCTCTTTAAAATTCTTACAATGTTACCCAAATCAACACGTTCTCTATTATGGCACTTAACAGTTAATTTTTCCCCTAGATTTTCAAGGAGATAACCATCCTGATCGATCAATGTAGTTGTCATATTTACAAATGTTTTTGTTGTCATTTTTGAATAATTTGGTCTATCTACTTTTTCTGTAATTTTAAATCCAACACCTACTTTCGGAAAAAATGAATGTATAATATTTATAATTTTATCATCTACAAATGTACCTTGTACAAGATTATTTGTGATATGTATAGTATTAACATGCGTTAAATTAGTTATTTTTTCCAATATATTACTACCTCCATAATATATTTTACTCTCAAAACCTAAAAGTTCTCTAATTGAATTTGGAATTGTAAAATCAACTTGAAACCTTGGTGAAAGAGTCATGTTTGTACTCATTGTAGCAACTTCTGCTGTAAATGTAATCTTTTAGTAAATGAACTTCTAAGTATTTAGTTAAAGATGCAAGTTCATATGCTCCTTTTTTAAAAGTGAAATTTACCCA